GAGACCCATGTGAGATACTCTACCAATGGAGATGCTCTTAGATGCTAATGTATTCTACTCATACTAGTCTTCAACATGGTATCATGTTAGGCTTGAGTTTTGATCTAAGGATCAAACTATGTTGTTTTTCGAACTTCTGATTTTCTTTTGTTTAAAGAGCTTCGGGCTCCTGGTTTACTTCACTTGCTTTTAGCTAGTTCCCCATGAGGTTTGGTTAGTTCGGTTTGAATTGTATTGATGAAGTCTAGTTGGTTTGGATACTTTGCCCATTCGGAGTATCTTTATTGGGGGTTTCTCACCCGATAAACAAAAACAAAATAAAAATAATAGTCTTTTAATAGAAATAGTTATAATCGGTTCTCATTTTATGAGAAATTGTCTCTCCCCTCAAAAGATTGACAATTGTCTTTTTATAAATGGTTCACCTATAATACTAGTTACAAAAAAGGAAAAAAATTTCCTCTGATTTCCTCTAGCCCACTAATGAAGAACAATCTTTATTTTTTCATAATCAAGCAATTTCTTACCTTTTTTTTTTGTCACAGGAAAGTTCTTACTTAAAAAAAAAATATTCTACCAAGAAAAGTGAATGAAGGCTGTTCTCATTTTCTCTCTTTTGTTATGGGTCAAGAAAGTTTTATTTTCTTCTCTTTGTAACACGAGTCAGATCCTTAAGGGGAATGAATATATAGCAATTTAAGGAATTGACTGGAACTTTTGAGGAAATATATTACAATTTTGTTTCTTTATTGTGCTTACCTTTAGTTGCTTTTATTCATCTATTTAGTTTTGTGAAATTATACAAGTTGAAAATTATTGGTCCACGCCACGTATTTCCAAATATGTAATAACATAACTTTTGTTCTGCATATAAATAAGATTATGTGGAATTCCAACCATTTTTATTAAGACTCACGCATACACCTTTGAATGGCCATGGATTCGAAAGAGTGTTCATTGTTGCCTTTCGAATTATGTGAGGAAATACTTTGTAGGGTTCCAACTATATCTCTTCTGCGATTCAAGTTAACGTGCAAACGATGGCTCGAACTTTTCAAGAACAAAAGATTCATCAACAAGCACTTGGCTCTAATCCAAGAACATTTCATACGGATCGATGATCCTAAGGTTAAGATCATCACTCCGATGACCGGAGCTTGCTCATTTTTTTCACGTCCAGACGAGTTTCGAGCTAGACCTCAGATTTACACTATGATTCACTGCGACGGATTATTGTTGTGTATCTTAGAATCAAGTGCCATCGCGGTTTGGAACCCATGTTTGAACCAAGTTAGATGGATCAAGCCCTTGAGTTATCACACGGCTTGTTGTTTCTATGGCATTGGTTACGACAATTTATCTCGAGATGGCTACAAAATCATGAGGTTTATGAACGGCGTTTTTACAAAAAACGAGTACGCAAACACGGGATCTTACAATCCAGAGGTTGATATCTACGAATTCAACTCCAATTCTTGGAGAACTTTTCGTGTTTCTTTGGATTGTCATGTGGTTTCTCGTTGTAGAGGTGTGTCACTCAAAGGAAACATGTATTGGATTGCTAAATGGAACCGTAAATCCGACTTCTTCATCCAAAGTTTTAATTTCTCTACCGAGAAATTCGAGCCATTATGCTCTCTTCCCTTTGAGTATAATGCGTCTAATGTTGTAAAATTATCAGCTTTTAGACAAGATAATCTATCTTTGTTACACTACATCGAAGAAACATCAAACATGGAAGTGTGGGTTACAAACAAGGTCAAAAACGGAGTCATCACCTCGTGGACCAAGTTCTTTAATGTGACAAGCCCTGATCTTCCGGTATTGCGTGAAGTTAATAATATGTCTAGTCCGGTGCACTTCATTGATAAGAACAATATGATTGCTGTATGTTGTGAGGAAGTATTAGCAGATCAAAAGAATGTAAGTGTTAACATCTACCTTATCGGAGAAGGTGAGATCAAGAAACAAGGTGAGATTGAACGACATAAATTGGGTTTTAGTTGGCCTTTTATCTCCGGATATGCATATCTTCCAAGTCTTGTTCCGGTTCCAACATAGGAGCATTAACCGAACGAAAGTTTTAAGGATGTTTTATGATCTTTTTTAATAATAAGTATTTTAAAACAATTTGTTAATCAAAATTCTCTTTAGTTCAAAAAATATTAAATA